TTCCGTAACTCTTGAGATATCCTGTTGACAACAAACAAATCGACAGGGGCGAAAAAAAACATATATCGGCACAATATCCTTCATTGTTATTGGTCACACTGAGTAAGCAGTAACGTTTTCCTAATGCAAGTGCTCGTGCTGATACGTCAAACTAAATGGTTGTGTATTATTACTAAGATGTTACAATTGAACATGTATACACCTCTGATGGTGTATATTAATATGAGTTAATAAATAATCCATTATAATTTGCATCCTGTTTCAAGCTGAATATACAAATGTTGCCTTCGTTCAGAAACTGCAGGATATAAACATTGTGGAAAACAAAGTGGCACAGAGGCTCAAAGAAGAAGCTGAGAAAAGCTAGACACAAATCCTAAGGATTACCAATGGTAACATGCATTGCACGACGATGCTTTCTATTAATCTGGCACCTGAACTTTAGCGTTTAACTGGGCACCTTTCGTGTATTCATAAGTTACAGTAAGGTAATCCACTGTAAATTATGACATATTTATCTGTAGGCCTAAAACTGACTGTAAATTGTATAAATGGCAGTGTACTTCCTGTAGCGCATAAATTGCCAATACTGCAATTCAAGTCATGGAAATCAAACATTTTTTTTGTAGTGAGCACCAATGCCAAGAACTCGCTGCATTTCCTTCATGGAAGTGGTGAAGTGCTTCCTGAATAATCTCAACAGGGTGGAGACACTGATTCAATCAAGTAGCAGTGCAGACCTAGAAGGAAGCAAATGGTGAATAATGCTATAAATTCCTGCTTCGAAATTAGCTGCGTATTGTAGAATAAATGAAATATTATTGTGTGTGCGGGGTTTCTTACTATCTAATATTTAAATGTTTTGTTTATGATGACAATTAGGAGTAAGTAAAATACATAGACTATTTAATAGAGGTATATATTAGATACATATATCTGGGTTAATAATATCTTTTCTGTACATATATTGTCATTATTAACGCCTGATATTATATATTCTCTTTATTAAAATTACCGTTATTATTATATTTTATATATTATAATATATATATTAGTCAGAAATAGCTAAACGAGCCAGGTCAAACAGAGGTCAGGGGAACATAGACCTTATCTGCTTTAGTTTGACAGTATCAGCAGAGCACTTGCATGAAAACGTTACTGCTACTCAGTGTGACAATAACAATGAAGGATATTGTGGATATATGTTTTCGCCCCTGTTCGTTTGTTTGTCTGTCAACAGGATATCTCAAAGAGTTACGGACAGATTTTGATGAGATTTTTTTGACGGGTTGGTCTTGGGCCAAGAACCAATCGATTAGATTTTGGTGCTGATCTGGATACAGATCTGGATGCAGGAATTTTTTTAAGGATTTCTCATCATTGATCGTAGTGTAGCAGTTTACTCTCTAACCGCTTCGCTTCGTTTTCTGTAGGGGTTTATGGTGTGTCACCGCCGCGTTAAACCCAACTACAAATTAGATCGATAGCTATATATATAGATATATGGGGGGACTGTTAAGCTGTGGCGGAGGTTTGCTATCTCCGATTGCTCTTGTTTATCTATACTAACCCAGAGCCGTAGGCTGAGCAAATTCCTAGGGGGGCAGTGCCAGTGGCGGATCCAGGATTTCAAGGAGGGATGAGAAACAGGTGGGGGGTCTGGGATAAATTTGGAAAATGTAGATCGCAGGAGATGGTATTTGAGGCACTTTTGAGTACATGTACAGCCTTCATTCTGACTACGACAATTCTCTTTTAGTAGGACAATCTATTTTTTTAATTTTGCTCCAAAATCTAGGGGGGCAGCGCCCCCCCCCCTCAGGCTACGGCCGTGTAACCTGATGGGAATAAGAGAAGTTTTGTTTGTTTCTGCTGAATAATTTCAATAAACCAACACAGGCAATATTGCTATTTAGGCAGCCAAGAACTTTCGTGACCAATTGTCATGCACCCATACATATAAGTATCCAGGTCGATACTAAAAAGTGCACAGTATCTAGTTTTCTTTACAGATTTATTCAATTACAGCTCAGTTGTACATTATGGGATCAACATGCTACGTATACTATAAAACGTGTTGCAGCATATATGTGTGGTTGTGGACTTGCGTGCGTGTGTGCATCAACGTATTAGCCAGCGAGCCGTGCAGCCGTGATTTGCACGGTCAGTTTTGAAACTGCACAGCCAAAAATGTGTAGCACGGCCTGAAATATTTATCTAAAGTCGTGTACATTTGTAAAATTGCACTCCCAAATATTTTTTCTGCACTCCCACAATACCCATTCCTGGCTAATACCCTGGCGTGCATGTGTGCCTATGTGCGTGCATGTATATACCACATGTACCATACCGCCATTATTTGCTTCTGGAGACTTTCGAGCTGAGCATCTAGAAGTGCATCGTCTTCCACACTGTATGGCTTGCTGTGAACTTCATCCTCGGGCAGCAAAACATCTTCAGGGATGTGAAAGATGTTCCTTAGTAAGTACGACTGAAGAAGAAACAAAGATTTTATCACAGATAACAAAATATGGGTTTAACGCCTCATCCATGATTTATGATATCACGTATAGCTGCCTATATTTATACAGCTGTTCAACTTTTTATCAATGTTGTTAAATAGTAATGGAGAAATTATATCTGTACGGTAAGTGCACTTTCTGATACTAAATATCTACACTCTGATTGTGTACCTCCAACTTGTCGAACGCCTGATCTATGACCTTGATGTATCGTGACAGAATTGCTCTATAGCCATCTTCTAAATTAAGCTCACTCTCAGCTTCTGGAAACTAAACAGGAACAGGTTAACAGCACATTAGTTAATATCTGTTACTGTATACGCTGTATATTTCGCGGTGGTTTAATTTTCGCAAATTTCGCGAACGCGTCCCCGACCACGAAAATAACAACGCAAACTATTCACACCGAATAATTCATAATTCACCGACTGCGAAATTAACCACTCGCGAAATTGTCCATCAAGTCTGAATTCGCGAAAATATCTGTACGTGAAAAATATGGTGTATACAGTACTTGACTAATATATTGTAAAAATGCTGTTGTACTTGACATGTGTCTATCATATCTAGGCTAGCCCAAACGTATACCATTATTACTAAAAACGTGTACGATCATATTTGTGTGAAATCAGTGGATAACCAATTACACCTTTCAGTAATGATAATTTTCAGTTATATTAGGATATATTCAAGAGTCCATAATAGTCTTCTATTATGGACTCTTGATATATTCATGCTAATGCTTTCTACATATAAATTTTCACTGTTCAATCTCAAGCAGAATCATTGAATAACACCACCAACGAAAATATAGCTCAGCCTGTAATTCCATTTACCTGCTTTTTCATGACACCTTGCATTGCAGTGATTCCATCATTTATGTAGACCAGAATCTGATTATAAACTGCAAGTGTTAACATAAATTATAACACTGATTTCTAGGGCTGTAACGAATACACTAGGTCACGAATACGATACGTATCACGATATATATGCATGCGAATACAATACGAATATTTCACGAATATGTAACGACCCTGTTACAAGGCTTCCCCCATCCCCGACGCGACGCGATCGCCTAGCGACGCGAAGCGGAGGTATTG